ACATGGAGAGTGAGCGTGTGCACAGCTGTCCGTCTGCAAGCATGGAACAGTGAGTGTGGACAGCTGTCCGTCTATGCATGTGGAAACACAGAGGGTGAGCATGTGCACAGCCGTCTGCGCTCATGGAAACAGAGGATGAGTATGCATAGTCGTGTGTCCATGGCTGTGGAAACGCAGAAGGTGAACATGTGCACAGCCATCCGTTCGTGCACGTGGGGGACTGCAGGGCAGTTCAACACTGAGACGGGAAGCACATGACAAAAGGTCATTGGGCAGCCACCAAGGACAGAGTTTCCGTGTGGGTGGGCTCCAGGCTCTGCCAAGCCACATCCAAGGGCAGTGGGTGTGAGACAGAAATCTACACAGCGGCTTGGGATGAGCCTCTCAGCTGCAAACGGTCTTGGCCATGCCTTCTGCCCAGTCCCTTGGACATCTTTCCTCTCCAGGTTTTTCCCAGGGCAGCACGTCACACCCTACAGTCAGTCACCACGCTGCCCCAGCAGCTGCCCATCTTCCTCTGGAGCCTCTGGGACATCAAGGCTGTCATGTCCCCAACTTTCCGACACTACAGAAACCGAAGTCCCAAACACTGAGCAGTAATTTACATCAAGAAATGACGAGAACAGACACTTCCTGGACAAACAGATAAGGTACCAGGCATGCATGTGCACGCACAAAGCAGAGTTCAGTCCACTACTCTGAGCCCAAGGGGTCAGCAGAACGTCAAGAGGACGGGAAGGGACAGTCGTCCTGGGGGCCGAGTTGCACGTGGGGCCTGCTGGGCCGTCTTTCGTATGCTCAGCGCAGCGACGTGCCCGTCTACCCCTGGGGGACACTGGGGCGAGGGCCAGGCTGAGGCACCTCTGACGGTGCAGTGAGGTGCCCTGGCACACGTCTTTCAGCAAACACGTGCTGTGTTAACACGCTGCCTGGCAGCTCGCCCTACCACAAGCACTATGGAGTCCTGATGGGCCTCCAAGGAGAGAACGTGAGCACCCAGGTCACCATCCTGCCCATGGCTGAGCCGGCTGGGAACACCAAGCACATCTCCAAACCCAAGAAGCAGGCTTTCTGCTGCCATAGTGCCCCGGTCAGGGGGCAGCAGGCCTTGGACAGGTGGGCACGTGCCCTCAGCGGGCCTGCTAGGAAACAAGCAGGAAGGTGGTGTACAGGCCTCTCCTGGGCCTTTGTGCCCAGAGCTGGATCCACCTGCCTCGTCAGGCTGAGGGTCACCGTGAGTCTGTGGCCAGCCTGCTGGTGCCCCCTGGCCTGTCATCAAGCATGCTACCCAGAGCCCAGTGCTGTCCTTGGGGTCAGGGTTGGCTCCATGGCTGTGACGAGGCCAGAGAGCTGGACGCCAGTGGGACACTGCCCACCGTATTCAGAAAGCCCTACACTTTCTTTCATGGTGACGCCTGAACTTCCTGCCTTCTCCCTGCCCTGAGGACCGACCCACTCAGCCACAAGCCCGAACCACAGGACGTCTCCGTCCCTCTCCGAGTTGCAACACAGGCCTTGGCTCTCCAGCTCTGTGTGTTCTGTACACGTTGTTCACCACGGGAGAAAAAGAAGCCACTCCCCCCACCACCGAGTGGGCCCCCACACCTCTGACTTGCTGCCTCCCAGATCTGGGTGCCCCCGACAGCCACGCCAGGAGCTGGCACCCCTGTTCCAGCCCTCACCCCACTGCTGCCCCTGTCACCAGAGTGTCCCACACAGGGACAGGACCAGATCTGCCTCAGGGCTGGTGAGGGGCCCCGACACCTGCTTCCTCTCCCACAATGCAGACTAGGAGGGGATGACATGGAGCCTGCCCACATGGCCCGGCGGCCGGCATCCTACCTCACGGCGTCCAGCCTCTTGTTCTGCCGGATGAGCTCGATGAACTCCTGAATCCGCAGGCTGAACTCCAGACAGCTCTGGGCAAAGACAAGACAAGGCTCACGTGGCACCAGCTGCTCCCAGCTGGCGGGCTGCTCTGCAGAAGCCCTTCCTAACTGCAGCCACGCTGTCCTGCAGTCAGCGAGCACGGTCTCTGACCACGAGCCGACGTGGGTACTGCTGCCAGCCTGGAGTCACCGGCCGAGGGCCCTCTGGGAGCCTGACCAGGACACCACGTGGAAGGGGCCCAGTCTGCAAGTGAGCAGCGGCTGGCTCCCAGTGGGGCAGGAGCCATCCCCAGCTCACACACTGACAGAACACGGTCACCTCCAAGTAAAACTAGTGATCAGGAGGGGAGGCAACAAATCCTTCACGAGGACAAAGCAGCCTCCAGGTTTGCTTTTAGGTCACAGAAGCCGTGAAAACACACGCAGTGAAAGCTTAAACTCCTGTCTCCTGTGTCGCCTCCTCCATTCCCACCGCCATGGCCTCCACCGGCTGGCCTCACGACCACACAGGACACTTTCCATCTAGATAGTTACTGTCCTACGTGTGTCACCAGGGGCAGCCCTGTTCTGGGAGCAAGTTCCTGTCCCTGAGGCGAGGACGCCTGGCAGGAGGACTCAGTGAACAAAGCAAAAGAGCCAGGCTGGTGTGTGACCCAAGCACGCACATGGCGTATACACACCGTGCATGGTAGGGTCCCATCCAGGTGCTGGTGACAGGTGACAAAGACTTGCAGATGCCTGGGGAGAAGGTTCCAGGCAGAAGGAACAGCCAGTGCAAAGGTGCTGGTGGGCAGTGCCTGAAGGCTCCAATGGGCAACTCTAAGGACCCCGCAGGCTTGACAGGGTGAAGACAGGGGATGTGGTAATTAAGGTTGTGGGTCAACTTGGCTGGGCCTGGTTGAGTGGCTGGGCAGCTGGTGGTAGTTATTCCCCATGATGAGACTGGCAATCAACATGGTGGGACCTACCACAAGCAGCAGAAGAGCTGCTTTAGGGATGTGGTCTGCTTCCCGTATATAAGCAGCAGCTTTGGGAATGGTCTCCAGCTGATGGCACGCTCGAACCCTGAATGTAGCCAAGTCATTGTTCAGCAGCCAGACATGCCCTGCTGACCATGGGACTTCTTCTGGACTTGAATTAGTGGCCTACCATGTTGTCTGCTAACATCCGAACTGTGCCTTTTTACTTGTCAACCTTGGCCTTGTCAGCTTCAGTAGCCACCAGCTGTCTAAGTGAAGAAAGGCCTCCAGCTTCAATGGGCCGGGAGGAGGCAGAGCTGAAGCCCAAGGTTGAGGGGCTTTCACCCAGCCCCTAGAGCCTGGCACTTCGAACTCAGACTTAAAGCCTCCAAAACTGTAAGAGAATAAACCCGTTTGTTCAAGCGCCCCATCTGAGGCATGCTTCTGTTTCAGCAGCACCAGGGCACCACAGGGAACTGGTCAGACGCTGGGCGCCTCTGGAGACAGAAGCCCAGGGCCGGCTGACAGAGCCACATGGCAAGGCCCAGCACCAGGAGCAGTCGGCCCCGTGTGTGTGTGTGTGTGTGTGTGTGTGTGTGTGCGTGTGTGTGGGGGGGGGTAGTGGGACTGGCCAGGAGGCTGGGGGCCTGGGTCGGCAGGACTCAGTCTGCTCTCTGGGATGGGCTGACTGTTGAAAGTGCCAGACCACTGGGGGCGTGATTTCCAGGCAAACCTACAGGCTGACTTACAAACCTTAACCGTATTGCCCACTGGGCTACAACTCTTGGGGCTGGAACATGGGGCAGACATGAAAACTGACTTTTGCGACCTGAGATGAAAAACTGGGTTATTTTCCAAGAGTAATTAATTCAAACCCTAACTCCTCTACGTTGTTTCAGAAAAGACTCACTCTGCATTTCCAGCCAGAAACTGGGCACGTGGAGCTGAGGACAAGTGTCAAACCTTGGTGCCCCTCCTTCACTCCCAGTTTCCAGATCCCAAGATGGTGTGAATGGGAAACCCTACCCGGCAGGGAGAATCCGCCAGAAGCATCTAAAACGCCCACTCCAGTCCACCCACCGGGTGCCTTCCCACCACCTTCCCCCGGGGCTCCAGCCCCCATTCTTCATTGCTGGCCACCTGCCTGCTCGAGGGGCCAGAGACAGAGGGTGAAGGTGATGAGACCACCCGCCCGTCAGGCAGCACCCCATCACACAGTGGGGCCGTGATTGGACTGGTCTCCTCGGTCCTTCCCCTTGACCATCCAAGTGTCTCACAGAGTGAAGGCAGTGAGCATGTCCACTATACGCCCTGGGGCAGGCCTGTGGTGTGGGAGTGGGTACTGAGTGGCAGGGCCAGTGTGAATCAGTTGGTAGCACAGGTCTCACCGCCACACTTCCTGGGAGGGGTCCCTTGACAAGCAGAGAGGCCTCCGCCATGCGGCCCCTTCAATGCCAGACCAGCAGGGCCGAGAGGGCAGACGAGTGACTCCGTGCGGGTGCTGGGGACAATGCACCCAGGCTCCCCAGTGGGAGGGAGTCGTGCCCTCAAGGCCAGGGACCCCAGGGCTCTGCTCTTCCTCCCTCCCCTAAGCCCCAGCCTTGCCTTTCTAGCCCAGAGGCCAATAGAGAGCTGGCCCTACTCAATGGCCGTGCTTCCAAGTCACCGGGCACCAAGGGGACCCCGTCTGCAAGCAGAAAGGAGCTGCCCTGGGAACATTTTGAAGGGCCACCCTTTGGGGTAGATGCTCGGTTATATGGCTTCAGCCAAATGCACATTTTCAACGTGTTTTTATTATTTAGACGCTCTGTGCTCCCGCAAACAGCCCTCAAACAGGGAAGTGTGTGTGAGACACTTGGGGACTCCCAGCCAGGTGTGAAGTGGTGTGTTTCCAAACACTCCTGGGGAGCTGTGAGGCTGACACAGCCCCACAACAGGGCTAACACAGAAGGCACAGCCTCCAGGTTCTGGCGTTGAGAGAGGAACTCGGCAGGCAAACCCCCCAGGTTAGAGCCCTCTCCAGGCCCGTGGAAGGGGCTCTCTGAACCATCTGCCCCCCCCATTCTCACTTTTGTCTTGGGTGACTTACAGGCCCCCATGACTCTGATCTGGGGGCGCCCTGTGAGAATCCAGTGTGGCCCCTCCGCTCCCCAATGTGAGTGTCTCTAAGTGTGAGTGTGCTTGTGCAAATGTGAAAGGAATGCTTACGTGGAGTGTGTGAGTGTGCCTGGTATGGTGAGTGTGTATGAGTACATGTGCGGAAGAGTGTAGTGTAAGTGTGAGCGTGTGTCAGTGTGACAATGTGTGTGTGTGGCATGAGTGTGTGTGGTGTGTGTGGCATGAGTGTGTGGGACATGTGGTGTGTGTTGTACATGTGGTGTGTGTGGGAAAGTGTTTGTGTGTGGCGTGAGATGTAACAATGCATGATGTGTGTTGCGTGGCATGTGTGTGTATCCATGAGTGCATGGCATGAGTGTGCATGCGTCAGTGTTTATATGTACAAGTGCGCAATGTGTGAGTGTGTGTATCCGTGTGACGGTGATTGTGTGCATCCATATGTGTAATAGCGTAAGTGTGTGCATATGCATGTGAGTGTGTGCATCCGTGTGACAGTGCATCTGTGTGGAGCGTATGTGTGTACGAGGGCACACCCAGACACACACAGGTGTTGTGCAAACTCTCCTGTGCCCTGCTTTGCCCCGTGCTGGTTTGTGATGGGACATGCTCGTGTCACTATGTGGTCCTCACAAAGTGTTCCTGACGGCTGTGTTCCACACCTGCCATACAGCACAGGACATATTCTGCCGCAAACCACAAACGGAGCACGCTGTTGCCACCCTTCCATCTTCCCCACCCCCAGGGAAGCTGCCTAGCCATGTCCGCGGCCACCACGGGCACCCCCAGAAGTCCTGGGACGCCAGAGCTGCGTCTGCGACAGGCTGGGGCTTGCAGAAGGGGCCAGTCTCCCTTGCTCGGCCGGCCGGCTTTCTGGGTGAGTGGTGGGCGGTGTGAGGGTTACCTACCAATTCCGGCCTTCCTCTCACGGCCTCCACACCCAGGTCCTCACTCTCTCTGGGGGAGCCACTGGCTGCTCTACTCTTTCGTGCCGTCTTCGCTTCGTGCTCGCACTGGCGGCCCTGAGTGGCAGAGAGTGTCACCCTCGGCTGGGGACTACGTGCACCCAACAAGCTCAAATGGGTGGCGGTTAAAGAAGCACTCCGTTGAGAAAACAGCAAACAGTAGCCTTTCTACTGAAGGCACGGGCTGGTTAACATGAGTTACATCGTTTCTACTGAAGGCAAGGGCTGGTTAATGTGAGTTACATTATATCTGTGAGTCCTACGTGACAAGGTCTTCTAGCAAGCAAGTTCACATTCTAAGATTTATACGATAAGGTCCGTTTTAAGCCATCGTGGGCCTTGGGAAGAGTGTGCTCAGTGATGGTATCACTGGAGGCCAGGGCTCTGGGCCTTAGCTCAACGGACCGTCACCTCCCGATGGGGCTTCTGGGGACTCATGACAGAACTGAGCCAAGACCACATGCACCTGCTTCAC